TGGAAAAGACCCGAGTCCACTTCCCTGCTGTGCCAAATATACTCCTCCGTTCTTCCCTCCTCCCTCCCCATGAGAGCATATGAAGTATTAAACAGCCAGGAATAAGCCCTTGAAAAATGTGATCGCTAGCTGTCAGATACCCCTCTGTCACAGAGATGCAGCTCTGTGATTGTTCGCTTGCAGATCCTCTGCTGCCATCCAGGAAATCAGGATTCAACAGTGACATTAATAGTCTCACCCACTCTGGTGTCATCTGTACATTTTGCACTACTGTGGGAACAAAACCACATCCAAAATCCTTCATTAGTGTTTTGCTGCCCTTCCCAGCCTGATGGCAGTGCCCAGTGCCCCATTCCCAACCTGAAATCTGGATCCTCTGCAAGCAAGAGGCAGGGTGGAGGTTTTCCAGCATTGTTTAAATCTGCCTTAATTTTGCTGGCAAGTACCATGGCTGTGCCCTGGTTACAGAGGGCAGGCATGGCTCCTGTGCAGAGCAGTTATTTTGGGTAGTACTGTAAATTTTGCAGATTTTAATTTTCTCACACTGTTTTCACATTACCCAGTGCCCAAACACTACCTTCATGTGTCATCTTCTGTTCTGTCATTGCCACAAAGTATTATCATGATCCTTGTAAACACCCACAAATCTGCCTCATTAGCTCCTGACACTCCCTCCTCCCCTTCCAGGGATGATTTATAGCCACCCTTATGCTGATGCCATTCCCTAGGCTGCAACCTCGTGGTTCGCTCATTTTCCCCCTTCTCTAAGGTTCCTATCAGCTCTCTCTCCCATTGCACTGCTGGATTTTAAGTTTCCTTGGCAAAAGGACAGCTTTTTGTTTTGCTTCTGTAGCACCCTGGTCCCTGACTCATTCCACTAGGTGCAAAGATAACTCAAATAATGAGTGTCATCCAGAGAGCTTTCTGGGAATTACAGGAAGCTGGCAAGGAGGACTTTTAATGTTTTTGTGCCAGATCCAACTCAACGCACTGTTATCCCTTTTTGCTCCAGACTGACCTTTCCATCTCCTTGATTGCAAAGCCTGAAAACTTTTCCTTGCCTGAATTATCTGTGACAGCAAAATTGCTTTGGCTGACTGCTCTCACCTGTCCTGCTTCCCTGTGGCGTGTCAGCCATGGTGGAGTGCAGGGACTGTCCTTCAGGCACATCCAGACATTTCTTACTCCTTCCCTTACATCACACCAGGGACAATACTGATTCCTACCACACTATCACAGGACACTTACTTTTCCAGAAACGTTATACAGATCTCCCAGCCACAGGAACACAAATAAAACCACTAATAATAAATAGATAAGCATTCAGGAAGCACATCAGTGACTGATAGAAAGAAGGCAATATGCCACAGTATTTGCTGTAAGAGTCCCTATTTGAGCTGTCTTTCCTGTTCAAGACAGTGAGAGGAGAACATGAAGAGGCAGCCAATTCAAGTAAAGCACACTGAAAGGTCAGAGGAATCCATCTAGCTTGTGCAGCACCATTTTGTAAGCAGAGAATAGCTCTTCGTTAAACTCGTTTTGTGAAAGTGATTGAAGGGGAAAAGGAAAATAGCTTAACACTCTCATTACAGTCTCTGGGAATTACCTGTTCCCCATGACTGCTGTGATGGGTCTGGCTTTTGTCTGGAGATACCCAATGGACACACAGTGTTTCCAGCCCCCACCAGGGCACTGGACGGAGGTGCTCTGTGTTTCATTGTCCAGGACACCTCTTTACACCCATGCACAGAGGTGTCCCTGCTTGGCTGGGGGCTGGACACCCGGCAGAGCCAAGCAGCACCAGAGATAAAGGCTTTGCCATGTGAATACAGCAGTCCCTGCTGCTCCTTTTGACTCTCAGTGGTTGACATTTCCACAGGCACCACAGTCCCTGCAGGTGGGAAGGGCTCCTTGAGCATCTCTGCAGCAGCAAAGGGGTTACAAAATACCCTATTTCTATTTTTTAGTCAAATGCTGCAAGTCTGGCACTAATGTCCAAGCTCATACTGAGTCCAGACGAGGAAGTGGTGTGAAGTTGATGGGTCTGATGCAACAAGACATGAAGCAGCCTGAATCGGTGTTGGATTGCCTGTATGGGGTGACCCAGGTGGGGCAGGGAGGGCTCTTCTCCTGGCAGGGTGTAACTAACAGGCAGAGTTATCCTGGTGGGACTAATGCCAGGTCAGCCCCTTGGGGAGGCAAGGAGCCTGCTCATATAAAGACTGTTAACCCCCTGCCTGCCCCTTATTTTCTCCATTCCTTCTGGCCGTCCCTTTAGTGTCACATCTCTCAGCCAGCCAAATTCTAGGCTCACACCTCCTATAGCACTATGCAACAGCCTCATCAGGGAAGCAGCCCTGGGAAAATGGATGAAACACCATTCCCTGCCGGCTCTCTTCTCGCTACAGGTGGAAGAAAGATGAGCTAGCAATTTGCTGCTGGCCTGGCAAGATAGCAGTGAATTACGGCAGCTCCTGAGCCAGCTCAGCTGCGCTGGCGAGCGTTCAGGGAGAGGAGAAACCCTTCCCGCAGGAGCGGAGGAGGGAAGCAGGTGTGTTATTCCCTTTTGTTCACTTGATGGCAGAGATCTCAGAGCTAACACGGGCCATAAGGGCTCCTCTGCTCCTCTGAAAAGCCACATGCCCCCAAGGACAACCCATCCTCATACTCACATTTTGGCAAAGCACACGGGCTCTTGGCAGCCTGCCGTGGCAGAGCCTGCTCCTGTGCTGCACCGGGGAACAGCGGCACAAGCGCTGTCCTGGCTCCTCCACAAAAACACCGCTCCTGACAGAGGTGCCAGGGCTGCCCAGGGGACACCACGAACCCGGCACTCGAGTCATTGCATGAATGTGAGAAACGCCCGGAAAATTGCACAAAGCACTGAACAACCCGTGGGCAATTCTCTGTCACAGTAAAACTTCGGTGCAAATGAGAAACCTAACAACTGAAAACAGCTCAGATGCACTGGTAGGAAGCAAAAAGCAGCCTCAATTATCTACCACCTTTTTTTTTTCCCCATCTCAGGATTTCTTTGGTCTCCTAACACTGCAATAAATCACAGAAACAAACCAGATTCAGGGGAAAATGAAGTCCTGTGTGATAGAGATTGCCCTCGACGCATCTTTGGGCCAAAGTCTGGCTTTGGTTCGCCACAGTTAAAATGCCAGGAGTTCAGCAGAGTTATTCTGGATGTCTGGTGGCACGATCAGCGTCAGAGCCTGGTCCCTGCTACATGCAGAGGGACTTTCTGAAACCAGCCAGAAAGATCCGCTCGAAAGATGCTCCACCAATCTTTGCTTTTGGGGCTGATGCAAATGATTTAATTGCTACAGTTTCTGGAATAACGCTGAATTTACTGATGGCTTTTAATAGAATGCTCAAAAAGGATTTCAGACGTGTCCTTCACAAGAGGCCATGAAGGAAACTCAGTAATAGTACGATAATTGCATTAGCATCTCCAGTGAGCCCAGGGCCGTGCGTTGGTGCGTGCCTTACAAGGCACGCAGAGAGGCCTTGCCCTACATACACAAGGATGGCAAAGTGGGAGAGAGAGGACAAGGATCTGTATCTGACTGGCCTACATTAAACTGCCCATTATAAACTTGCACCAACAGCACAGGTGCATCAGCAGATGCTCTGTGCTAGTCAGGTCAATTGTGGTTTATCCAGCTCACAAAACCTGCCCAACCCTCTGTGGGTCCTGTGTAACTGAGCCTGGGAGTTGGCAAGCCCCTGAACAACACAGAAACATGAAGAGCATCCTGTTTGACCTTCTTAAGAACCCTAGTCAGACCCCAAATGACAGGTTCTACTAGGAACCCAAATGTCAGGCTCCTGACTTGCAGAGGCACCTTTTCCTTGATGTTCACACTGAAACATCTGCCCTGTAAGCTTGCTGCAAGCCTCCTTCCCCTTCAAACCCCACTGCCAAGCAAGGGACAGCACACCCGGATGCTGCATTGCAACAGGTGCTGCTGGACTTGCCTTGCTTGCCAGCAGGAAGTTAAATGGCCATTTAGTATGGCCAAATCTAGCAGAAGCACACTGGTGACTGTCACACGGGTGTGTCACTGATGTGTGGCTATACCGAACCAATTCGCACGCCATAGGTATGTGTGTACATGGGCACATACACACCTGTCTTACACCCATATACACCGTCTCCATCAGCTGTGAACGGCATCATGCCCCCCTGCTCCTCGGGAAGGGGATGCAGAGGATCCCCGCCACGGCTGCTGGGGCCGGACACCTCCCCGCACCCCACCGCACCGAACCTCCCCGCACCCCGCGGCTGCCCCCGAGCCCCATCCGGCACTCGCTCCCCCCGGGAGGAGGGCGGGGGCCGGGGGTCCGGCCGCGGGCGGCTCCGCTCCGCCCAGCCCCGCTCCCATCCCCGCTGCGGCAGCGGGACCTCCGCGCCGCTCCGCGCCGCTGCGCGCCTGCCTCAGCCCCGCGCTCCGCAGGGGCCGGGCTGCGCGGGGGGCGGAGGCGTGGGCGGAGGGACGGAGGAGCAGCAGGAGGAGGAGGAGGAGGGAAGGGAAAAAGGAGGGAGAGAGGGAGGGGGATTTACCCCATTGTCCTCGGCGGGAGCTGGGCAGAGCCGCCGCCGCCGCTGTGCGCAGGCTCGTCCGGCCCCTCTCCCGGCGCGGAGGAGCAGCTGCCGGCGGTAAGGGGAGGCTCCGCTGCGCTCCGCGCCCCCCTCCTCCCCCCCCCAGCGCATCCCCGATGCCCCCGGGGCGGCGGCGGCGGCGGGCGCGGAGCTAGCGCGGGCGCGGGAGCCGCATGGCCCGCGGGGAGCGCGGCGGCAGCGCCCCGCCTCGCCGGGGCGGCCGGGGCGGCGGCGGCAGCGCGGCGGCGGCTGCGGGCATGGGGGCGCCGGGCGGCGCGGCCCTCGGCCCCGGCGCGCTGCCGCGGCGCTGAGCCCCCGGCGCTGAGCCCCCGGCCCTGCCCGCGCGGAGGAGGCGAGGAGGAGGAGGAGGAGGTGGAGGAAGGACCCGATGGCGAACAGCAGCGAGCTGGGGAGCAGCAGCAGCCCGCACCTGCCCAGCGCCGGCGGCCTGCTGAGCGCCTCCGGGCTGAAGCTCGCCACGCTGGGGCTGATCCTCTGCGTCAGCCTGGCCGGCAACGTGCTCTTCGCCTGGCTCATCCTCAAGGACCGGCACCTGCACCGCGCGCCCTACTACCTGCTGCTGGACCTCTGCCTGGCCGACGGACTCCGCTCGCTCGCCTGCTTCCCCTTCGTCATGCTGTCGGTGCGCAGCGGGGCCGCCTGGCCCCACGGGCCCCTCAGCTGCAAGGTGCTGGCCTTCCTGGCCGTGCTCTTCTGCTTCCACGCCGCCTTCCTGCTCTTCTGCGTGGGGGTCACACGCTACATGGCCATCGCCCACCACCGCTTCTACGCCAAGCGCATGACGGGCTGGACCTGCCTGGCTGTGGTGTGCATGGTGTGGACCCTCTCCATGGCCATGGCCTTTCCCCCCGTCTTTGACGTGGGTACCTACAAGTTCATCCGGGAGGAGGAACAGTGCATCTTCGAGCACCGCTACGTCAAGGCCAATGACACGCTGGGCTTCATGCTCATGTTGGCGGCCGTCATCGCCGCCACCCACCTGGTCTACATCAAGCTGCTCTTCTTCATCCACGGCCACCGCAAGATGAAGCCGGCCCAGCTGGTACCGGCCATCAGCCAGAACTGGACCTTCCACGGGCCAGGAGCCACTGGCCAAGCGGCTGCGAACTGGACGGCTGGCTTTGGCAGGGGGCCCACGCCGCCCACCCTCGTGGGCATAAGGCAGGCCACCCACAGCCAGATCAAGAGGCTGCTGGTGCTGGAGGAGTTTAAGATGGAGAAAAGGCTCTGCAAGATGTTCTACATGATCACCTTGCTCTTCCTGCTGCTCTGGTCCCCCTACATTGTGGCCTGCTACCTGCGGGTCTTCATTAAGGCCAGCTCCATCCCCCAGGTGTACCTGACCACCTCCGTCTGGATGACGTTTGCCCAGGCAGGGGTCAACCCGATCCTCTGCTTCATCTTCAACAAGGAGCTCAGGGTCTGTCTCCGAGCCCACTTCCCATGCTGCCAAAGCATCCAGAGCACCCAGGGCACCATCCTTTGCGATCTCAAGAGCTTTGGGATGTAGGGGGGCTTTTCTCTTTCTAAAAAAGAAAGATGGATATAAAATTTCCATGTTTCTGCATATGAGCTCAAGAGAGTGTGACCTGTGGGGGACATACTAAACCACCACCCAGCACCCAAACCTTAGGCTGTAAGAAGCTATTTTATTTATTTTTCTATATTTTGCGTATGCTCTCTTCAGAACATAACAGGTTGCTGTCTATGGGAACAGGTACTTGAGCAGAACACCCCCAAACCTTAGGCAGTAAGAAGCTGGTTTTTTTCTTTGTGATTGTGTGGTTTTTAAAAACAAAACAGGGCTCCGAGTTTCTGGTCTTGCTTCTAACGTTTCTAAACATGATTCCAACAGATACGGATTAAGGCCATGACATTTTTTTTGTTTCCCTATTCCTGTCTGTTTTGATAAAGGCTTAACAATTTTACTCATGTAATATTTGATAAGGGCCAAGACAATTTTATACTAAAGTTATTTTTGATGACCTCAAGAGGTGTTGTTTTATTATTATTATTTGATTTTAAGTGAAGAACATGAAGAGGACGTTCTAGTGTGGTCAGAAGTCAGTTTTGGTGGGAGCTGTTGGGTTCATTCATTCTCAAATGGTTTGAGTATTTGAAGCCGTTAGTTATAACTTTTGCTTGACATGCAAACAGTGTAGAACTAATTTCAATTTTTCTTGTTGCACTATTCATTTGGTAATATTTCAGAACTATTTGTGAAACGTGATTTTAAAATACCAACTTTAAAAATAAGCAACTATAGCAGTTTTTAAAACCTAGATTGAAATTCATATTTTACTGCCTTTATAGGAAGTTATCTACAAACCTGGGTAATACTTGTACATTTTGACTGTTTTCTTTAATAAAATATTGAAAACCTTTACTGTATGTAATTGTTTCAGAATGGCAGCATTCTGCTTTGCTGACAAATAACTTGTGTATGTGGAAGGTTGTATGTCTTGTGTCTGAGTAGATTTCACAGCTAAGGTTATTATGGACAAGCACAATCCTTATTTGCTGTTAGATCTCAATTTAGGTGTTTATACCAATAAAAGTGACTAAAGCTATTTTTAAGAAGACTTAAATTCATGATGGGCAACAGGTTTAAATAGCACAATTCTTTGTGTCTGCTGAAACCAAATTTCTGTTGTAGCTCATTGCTGCTCTGTTTATGATAGGAAAGAGTGTAATTGTGGATGGCTAATTCTAGTTGGCAAAGCAGTTTTTTAACGCTGTGGCTTGGTCAATACCATACTCATTTATAAACTATATTCTTAATGGGAAGCTTACATTTATTAAGCATGGCATTTTAACCTGCTCTTTTGTTCTACAAAAACATCTCTGAAAGTATTTTAACCAGTAACCTGATGGCTGGATCCTGGCACAACTTCTTAGCTGTCTCAGAGGAGGCTGTCCCTGAGGTGCTTCCCTTTCTGATGGGTCATGTAACATTTAACAAACCTGTGCTGGAGCAAGTCTCACACCAAATGGCAGGGATACAGCCTCAGTTTACGTGAAGAAATCTGCATCTGCTGAGTATTTCTGTAGGGAGTAGTCCAAAACTGGTAGACATCAACTGAGAAATAAGTTGCTGTGCTGTGACTATGAAGCGAGCACAAAAGAGACATGGCAGATCAGAAGAGGGCAAAGGTGGCAGCTTCAGATTGAGGCAGGGCATGAAATGAGCTGGGACTCCTGGTTTGGTTTAAGCCTTGTTTTCCACCCCCAGCTGGGATTTGGACACCAGAAAGGCAGCATTTCCTGCAGTGCATAAGGAGAATGTTGCAATTTGAGTTTTTTGGTACAGTTGCAGTACCGATGCTGCCAGAACTGGGCTCAGAAATATGACTATGGATGGGGTATCTTTAAAACAAGGAGAGATTTAATGATTATTTCTAAAGCTTCTAAAGCATTTTGAAAGTGCACCTGGGTACAGAAGGAAAGCTGTCACATACTTCAGATCGCAGCAGCAGCTGGTTATCAGTGATAATTATATTTTCAGGCTGGAATATCATATGATAGCTTAGTGAGCCTGGGAGAGTAGTGGGGTAGAGCTGTGTTACAAAGACTATGGGGCAAAGCATGGGTGCTGTTGTTGGGAATTGTGTTTCAAGTATACTTTATACCCCTGGTTTACTTTTAGGTCTTTTCTGCAGGGTTCCAACTTGTGGAACTTTTCTCGTATCTCATATTTCCCTCAGAGGCTGCCTACATAGTAGGGGCCTAGAACTGTGATCTGTAACTCAGATCTTGTCATCTTTTTCCTAATCCTGCTGGTAACCAAGCCAATACTTTCTTTCTCTTTACTCTATTAAAAATGTCTGATATTTTGGCATCCTCTCTCTCTTCCAGGCTATAAGTAGTATGGTTATGATTCTATTTAAACCACAGAGATGGGAAAATAGTTATTTTAAAAGCTGCAAGGACCAGATTTTTCGCTTCTAGAAAAAATGAGCACAAATTGTAGAATCAGTCATATATGCGGGGGATGAAAACTCACCTTTGGGTGACCTGATGGTTTTATTTAGGCTTGGCTTATCAAGCAGTGCTGCTGTATTGAATGCCAGCCTCTGTGCAGAGGTATCCCCTGGCTCAGTGATGCCCTCAGGAGATGGGTGAGTTGGTTCTTATCTGGTTAAGATGCTGGGTGCTTTGCTATCACCCATCAGTGGCAGCCAGACTCAGCCTTGCTACAGCACAAGCATACCCCCCAAAAAAAAATTAATTATCTGTATTCTATGCCTTTTACTTGCACACAGCTTCCAGGGCTGACTCAGGACTCCTGATATACTCTGAGGGCAAAATCAGTGCTGTTTGAAGTTAATGTTTGAAGTTAATTTTATATTTTAGGTACTTGTGATGTCAGTCAGATTATGATCCTGGCTGTGGTAGTACAAAAGAGAAGGAACTCCAGTTGCTTTAATTCAGGGTTTAGATAGGTGTTGTACAATAGGGCTTAATTTCAAAAGATGTGAAACTAAATATCAAGGACATGGCAGAAAATTAAGGAGTACTCTGTGCCAACGCACCAACAAACACCACTTTGCTGGCTGAGAGTGCATCAAGAAAGTAAGGAAAACCAGAAAAAGAAGCACCAGAAGATAAATATTCCTTCTGAAATCTGAGAAAATATAAGAAAGTTGAGAGGGAAAAAAAAAAAAAAAAAAAGACATTTCCAAAGCACAGTGTTCACTTGTTCTCATAGCAGCGTTTAGTCTGCATATGGGGAAAGTGGGTCACAGAGATTAAATGCTTTGACCAAGATCAGAAGAAGGGGTGTTGGGGAGGATGAAAACCTGCTCTGGATTAAAAAAAACAAAAAGAGAGAAATAGTGTTTGGGAGAATGGAATGAGCACAGGGAGAGATGGCTGCTGCTGTAAGGTGTGGCTGTAAATCCTCCATCCCACAAAAAACCAGAGTGCTTTTGGTCTCACTGAGAAGTGCCAATGACTGGTATTAATAATTACTGCCATGCGTGAATCTATTGCTGCTTGTACAAGTCCTGGACTCTCTTCCAAAAACTCAGATGGTTTGAACCCCTCTCCCCATCCCCACAGACCGAAACACAAAGTACTCAGAAGGTTTGGTGGGCTGCACAGCAGTGGGGCTCTCCCAGCTCTTCCACTGACCTGTGCTTCACCAGAATGGACATTCAGTCTTCTCTCTACCCCTCCAGGCAGCTGCATGATAGTTTCCCATATTCTGGGCACCACAAGTGCTGAGTACCACAGGAAATACTAATATCATCTCCCCCAGAGATTCTTCACAGTCTGGCTCAGAGGTCACATCATGCTGCTTCTGCATATCTGTGGTGAGGGATTGCAGTTGGGCTGAGAGCTGCTCCATAAAAATCTTGGTTGCTGCTGGCATCTTCACTCACTCACCAGGTATTTAACACATTCCTTACAAGTGTTTCCAGTCAAAATCTTGAAATCGGTGGAGGATTTTTGTGTAGACTTAAATGTCAGGCCAGCTTGAAAAATGGCACTGGTTGGAAATCGCAGTCAGCAGCTAAGACAATCTCTGATTTACAGCACTCAGTGCCTGCACTACTCCAGGGTGCTTGTAGCTCTGCTATTAGATTTGGAAAGAGCTAGGAAAGGAGCTGAAGCATTTGGCCTCAGTCAAATCATGTTGTTGGGTAAAGGTCTCATTCAGTGGTCGTGCTAGAGGCGGAGGGTGAGCAGGGGATGCGAAGCCCATGAGCTGTCATCATTTCCTCTTCCAATACCAGGTCTGCACAGAGGAGGCAAAGCTGCCTCCCAAAATGGTGTGAAGCCAGTAGCCTCAAGGAAAAGGGCAGGAATTTGGCTTACTTTGATAGCAACAGTTCTTTCCTGAGGCTCTACCTGGATGTGGTACAGCTACATCTTCAGAAGGCTGCTCTGCCATATGCTGTATGCCTGTCCTGGGATACACTGTGCAGAGCTCAGAGAAGCACAAAGCTGGCATTTTCCCTCTCTTCCCAGAAAAGGATGTGGCTGGACCTCTGCCACTCACCCCACATGGTTAAGCACAGTCACCTTGCTCTTTGGAGGCACCTGCACTTGCTCAGAATTGCCAACAAACCGCCCTGAGGGAAGTGGCTCCAGACAGAGTAACAGACACATATTGGCAGAGTACAATACTAAGTATCACTTCATTAGCTCAGGCTGCAGATTGGATCATTCCACACAGTATCAGAATACCCCAGAAACCTTATTAGATAGTTATGCTTCTAATCAAAAAATTATTAGAAACATGGCAGGGGGGCTGTTTTCTAATAGAGGTTTCCTAAAGTCATCATTTTTAGCACAGCTTCCTTTGTAGTTGCTCAAAACACTGCACAGGCTATAATTAACTCTATTGTGATAGGAACCTGGAAGCATTCCCCATGCTATAATGTTCTTATGATTCAGAATATTAAAAAATATATGACATATTGAAGAAATGCAGCCATCCGAGAAAGACTGTGAAGATGGTCTCCTAAAAGCTGGTGCTGAGTCATGCTGGGGTGGGGCTGTGCCTATGGATATCTTACCCCAAACCTCCTTTTATGCTGGTGGTTTATGATGCCATGTCATTCCTGAAGGACTTGTGTGGGGTAAATCCTTACTCATCCATCAGTTGCAGAACTGGTGACCGGGAGCTGATTTTCCAACTTGACATCTGTGGCACTCTGACTTTCCCTAGAGCTGCTGATGCTGAGCATCTCCCAGCCTAATTTCACTTGGTACAAGTCATTAACTGCCCCACACCTCGATGCTTTATCCCAAGAATGATTAGTTATTCACCTTTCTAAGGCAGAGAACCACTGATGGCAGGAGCATTATCACGGGTGAACAATCGCTGACTACACAAGCTTTCATCACTTTAAAGTCAAGCTCAGCCTTTCATGCAAGCTGTTGCATTTCTGTATTTCTATTCATGTTTAATGACCTCAGCACTTGCACTCTGTGTTTGATCTCAAGTCATGCATGGCTGTACTGAGGATGTATTTATTGGAAGGCCACCGTCTTCAGTGCCACATTTTTCTCGTCTGCCGTGACCAGGTTGATAGCACAAAGCACTTTGTGTAGGAGGCTTTCAAGTTCAAAGCTAGTCTTGCAAGGGCACAGGGAAGCTGTGAAGTCATAGCTAATTTTAGGCATCATCATGGCATTCATAGAGTAGGCAGAAATCAAGAGATTGCCCGGTGGAGAGAAAGCCCATCCTAAGGTTTCTGAATGTTATTTACTGGTATGTCATTAAAAAAATGAAAAAAAAATCTCCTGTGTTTTTGTGAGGATGATTAACCATTGGAACAAATCATCCAGAGAAAAAAAAATGGATCTTCCATCTGTGAGACGTGCAGTGTGAGCCTGCGCGCCTGCCCACGGCACACCTGCCCCGAGCTCTGCC